CTAGGGGTGCAACTAATTAAATCTCTGTCGAAAATCTAAACGTAGCGGGGGGGGTTGGGGGGGGCGGCAGCCCCCCCCATGATGTCGGAAAAACGCCACCTGCCGAAGAGGAACTGGGAATGCAGAGGATGCGAAAAGCCAAAAAGCCACCAAAAGCCGCATAAACCAGCAAAAAGCCGAAAAGCCTAGAAGCCCAGAAGCCGAGAAGCCAAGAAGAAGCCAAAAGCCAAGAAGCCAAGAAGCCAAGAAGCCAAGAAGCCAAGAAGCCCAGAAGCCGAGAAGCCGAGAAGCCGAGAAGCCAAGAAGCCGAAAAGCCAAGAAGCCAAGAAGCCGAGAAGCCAAGAAGCCAAGAAGCCAAGAAGCCAAGAAGCCAAGAAGCCAAGAAGCCAAGAAGCCAAGAAGCCAAAAGCGAAAAAAAAATCCAAAAAAAAACCGAAAAAAAATCCTAAAATAAATACCCCTCCATGAAAAAGTACCCTCTGCATGGCCAATGTGACCAGAATTTGGAATCCTCCACACAGCCCGGACCAGAAAGTCCCTAGTCTGAAGTCAATTCGAAGGTTTTTGCATGTGCACTGCAAAATGCATTCGTGCCTAATTCATTGGCACTGAAAACTGCTTCGCATGCTTGGGTGGTAGCCATTTCAAAGCTGCCATATGTGTGAGCAATTTTGCAGGTTACGGGGGGCGTGGGTGCAACAGTGATGCATTCTTCCGTTGGGTGCGGACTCTACGATTCTCGTCTGCCTAAATGCAGCTAATGTTGGAGCCTATACAGCCCCCAGCAATTAAATGAGGAAGTTTTACTCGAAGAACATCTCTGTTAAACATCGTTAAACAGGACCGGTGTTGACCTCAAGGTTGACATTGCATTGGCCTGAATAACAAGCCTGGTCACAGCCTCTTTTTTCATTCGAGCCAAGCAGCGAATCCAGGGACCACATCACTACATGGTACCTGAGTCACTGAGCTCTGGGCAACGGTGAGCCCAAGTCTTTTCTGGACATCTGCAAATTTCAGTTGGCATCGAAATCGTTGTTGAATCCGATGGCGCATCCGAAATTGCAACCGAGGCTGGGACCTAGGCAGCTTCGTTTCATTCGGGGTAGCCAATCAGAATGATCAGGGCACAAATGAACTGTCGAAGCTTCGAGACAAAGTTTAGACTGTGCTTGCCGGCCGATAATCGATACAAACAAGCGTATGGCAGGTGAAGCAGCGCAAATGCCTAACCAAGCACAAAAGGAGTCTGGCTTGGATTTCCAACCTGGTACCAAAAAACATGGCAGGGTGGCTCCAACACGTCGTGGATTTCAATGGAAACCTGATACTCAGAACATCAGATGTAAGGAAAGCCTGCTTTCGCGGTGACCCACGCAACCTGGGGACTTCTCAGGCCCCCAGCCGATGCATGCCCCTGTCTGGGCAGGGCGGCTCCATACCCAGGTCGCCTCTTCCTCGAACCAAAGCTCAAGGGATGTCAAAACCTTGGAAGCAAATTTGCTTTCTTCTTGTTCATTCTTGGGCTGTGACAACAAAATGCAGTGTGCGTCGTGATGTGATCATTTCTGTCCAGCTTTCCCACGGTTGTCCAAAGGCCCCCTCAAAAGGGCCCCTCTTAGCTTTTCAAGCGGGATTGGTTCACTTACCGCTTCTGTCGGTCTCGCAGACACCCTCCATGCGGTAGGTATGCAAACGACGTGAGCCCAGTAGCGGCTTGGAGCACAGGTCGGATGCTTTGGGCGGAGAATGCACGTCCGGTTGAAATGATTTCAATTCAAAGAAAAGCCGAAGAAGGCCAAAAAGCCAAGAGGCCAAAAAAGACTCAGAAAAAGCCAATCGAGAAAGGCAAACTGACATTTACCCCCATCAACAAGGCAGGAAACAAGTTCGGAAAAGAATCGGAAAATAATCGATATGGTCCAAGCAGCACAGAATGTGGGTCATAAAGTTCTGCACTGTTTGGGAAATCACTCAAAATCCAATGAACTGCACAGGGTGGATGTCTTTGATGTCGCAGCAAAGCTCTCTCCACTCCTCTCCGATCCAACCCACAAGCTGTCCAGCTTGGCCCCCGGCGATTTCTTCCAACGACCATGGTGGGCGCAAGCTGGCGAGCAAGACATGGTTGGCCCGGTAGAGCAGGCGCTTGTGGGACATGCAAGTACCCATCTCTCGCTGTCCCTTGCACAAGCGTCCAAACAACAGCAGCGCCACTTGACCGCCCCTCCCCCGGCCCCACAATATGGGACCTGCACATGGCTCGTTGCATGTTGGCTCCAGAAGGGGTTCTGGGGAACGCTCCCAAAGCTGATACAGTAACAGCACAAACTGACACTGAGACAATCATTCCAATTTAGGACAGGAGGCTTGATTTTATTGCGGACTTAAAGGCTGGGGCTGAGGACCAAAACTAGTCCTGATGCACAAAAAAAACTGAAGCCTTGCTACCCGAAAAATAGACTGAAGCCCTGCCTCGCTAAGCTCAGTGACAGCCGTCTCGTTGATAGCCATCCAGTCACCAGGGATGTTGGCAACCCTGGCACAGCGCCAAAGCAACTGGGCACCCCAACATGGGATAACAAAGCGGAGTGACGTCTGGGGAGTTTCCGTCATCGGCACAATACAATGGCATGAACTTCTCAAGCAGCCACCAACCTTCACATGTCGGGGTACCAAATACTCCTATACCCGTTTGAAACTGTTCGTTGATATCGAAGCACAGCATCCTTAAAAACTGTGCTCGCAAGGGGCTGCCAAACTAGATGTGCTATTGTAGTCTTATCCAGCCAACGATCAGCCCTTCAAAGGTTCGCCAAAGATTGGGGAACAACCCCTGCCAGCTGGGCTATAGGCTCCTATTCTCTCTCAGTCAAGTCTGTCACGCCATTGATAGTCAAGCCAAGGTCCTCCGTTTCTCTGTGTATTCCCCAATCATTCTGATCTCAAAATTGAACACCTGTTGAGCACCATTTCGCCAGCTTCAGAGTTGCCAACCGTTTTTTGCCAATGCTGGACGCGCAGTAAAGAGGGATAAGCAAACAGGCCGGGCGCGCCAGAAGATGTTGCGCACCTGATTGTCCGGCGAGCCCATGCCGTTGGGGAAGTCCAGGTCCTGCGAAAAACATCCGTGCAGTCGGGAAAACATCACCCCCGCTCGAACGAGCTCGTGAGGGGTGCTGGCAAAAACTTCTGCCAAAGGGAAAGCGTTGGAAGGGTCCCTTGCGGAGTCCTCAGTCATTGGTGACCTTTTGCAAAAATAGACAGCCCTGGCAAATAGAAGCAAACCAATCTAAACCAGTGAAACCCATCTATTTCTGACCAAACTCATCTAAAAGGACATCTACCCAGTCCCATTCTCGGCATCCGAAAAGAACCCGAGCCTCAATCGTGAGGGCAAAGGCCTGGCAGGAGCGGCACGCCTTGCCGTCCTGGCGAATGGATTAGGCAGTCGCCTTTTTTTTGCCTTCAAGGCATTTTGAATGATAACAAATGCCCTTTTTGGGTCCCAAACCTGCCAACGGGTCCCTTCCCCCTTCAAATGATGAAGAGACATGAGACTTGGCTTGCGGGGTACTGTACCGAGCCCAGTAATCAGCGAATAGCAAATATGTTCCTACGACATGGTGCTTGCGAGGACGTCTCCTTAACTCCTGTTTTGTTGCGAGGACAATCCTTAGGATTCCAGACTATGAGAAGGGGACAAACAAGGGTGTCACCGACAACAAAAAATATGGTGTTGGGTCAAGGGTCTCTGACGTTCAGTTCGTCAACCAGGACGCGTGTGCTTACCCTCCCTCTGCCACCTGTGTGAAGGGGAACCACGTTGATTTTGCTCTCTCAGCTTCCACGTGGAGAACTTAAACATTGAGTTGATACATTAGGGCTCAGATTCGCTGTTGGAAGGGGCCAGTCACGGCTACCGCATGTTCGCCAAAAAGGCGAGGACCTGCTCCCACTACCATAGCCACTGGTCAGAACTTCTTTGAACTCTCAAACATGTAATCTGGTGATTGGTTCACACATGCGGAGTCATAGCTGCGGATCAATTGACTCGCAATCAAAACCTGGTATTGAAATGGCCTACCCAGAATCAGGTAAAGACTTAAAAAAGCGGCTGCGCCCGTTTATGGCTGGGACTCTCCCTCACTAACCTTATCTACCCGATTTTTTGTGGCTAAAATGCTGCAAGCATCCGCAAGGGCTTTGCATTGTGCGCCTGCTGTTCCAGCGCACGCTTGAATCCAAAGAGCAGGGACTTCAAGCTATGGGAAGGGGAGAGGGAGCACGCAGAGACTTCTTCGGAATCTCAAGTCCAGTTCGCCTTGGCCCCAAGAAAGATCAAGGGCGCTCAGACCTCGTTTCCCAAAGGGAATCTTCACACTGTACATTGGTCCAACTGTCCATGCCTGAATGCCACTTGACCAGCTCTGCTGCTTGCAGTCGAACCACAGACGCTGCGCGCTCGGCTGGGCCGAGGCGGGCAACGCGGAGCGTTTACAATTATATTTTTCGGTCAAGCCCAACAAACCGGGGAAGCAAGGATGATTAGAAGCACAGGTTAACTTGCATTGGGACCTCCAATTCCTCACATCGTGTGGAAGCTCTGCTAGAAGCGGTGTACATGCAATCAGCCCCGGCAAACAACATGATAACCATTCGGGGTCTTTTCATTCCCTTTTTCGACAACGACCTGTGGGGCGCACTTTCCAACGCGTCCATTTTCTTCGCATCGATGGGCGGCGTCGCCGTGAAACGGATCTTTGGCGGTCCACCATGCTGTCGCCAATGTTTGAAGTGGCTGGAGGTATGTGGGGATGTGCCGTTGGCAAGGTGCAAGGTGGGTGCTTTGCTCCTGCAAAGTGTTGTGCTCTCTGACTACTTGAACAAGGGGGACAAGAACACAAAGCATAAATCATGGCATCAAGAGTTGGGGAATTCTGTTGAGTCCGGCTGACACAAGACTCCGACCTCTGGCCAATGACGCAATACCTGCTGGCTCAGGAGGCGATGCCGAATTTCTTCTGCATCTGCGCAGGGTAAGGAGCATGGCAGCAGAAACGCGTGGCACTTTTGTACCTAAAAAACATAATAGCATACACGGATGTTGAAAAAAGTGCTCGCCATGCTTTGGCGGGCTTTGTCATGTATCAATTGTGGGTTCCAAACTTTCGCGATGCAACAACGTAGGTCCGGGAGGTAGTGCTCGGGCGCGCACTGCGCATGTCTGTTTGTTCGAACGAGCTCTGTGTGTGTGTGTGTGTCAATGCTGCTCACCATCCTGATGCCTCGGTATGGACGCCCCCCGGGTAACCGGAGGTCCTTACCACCATAGGTATAAACTACTCTGACCGTAGTTGGGTTCCCGAATATATCATTGTGTGCTATGATTCCTCTTATATATTATGTTTGTTATTATTCTTGGGCATCCTGACCATCATGCGCAAAACATATTCTGACCGAAGTTGGGCTAGCGATTTGATTACCGACTCAGAAGTATTCCAAGGGTCCGTCTCACCCTCAAAAAAAATCCAGGGTACAGCCACCCCTGAAACACCTTCAACTTCAAACCGTATGAAAAGATATTCCTAGATGTTTTTCAAGCCACCATCAAGGGGGACCCAAGACGACCCCCCAAAAGACATATTCCAAAAACCTATTCTAGACAATTTAATCCAAGGGGCGTCGTGGTCCCCGGAATTATTTTTGAAGGGGGGCCCATCCGATTGTTGCGCCATCACGTGCCATTCATCACAGCTTGCCTTTTTGCCGTGCGCAAATTCAAAATGCCGATCGTAGCACAGAAAGCCAAACTCAAGCCATGCGTCCAGGACTGCAGCTCCGAACGCGGACAAAAGTCAAATACCAATTGTACGGAGGACCGCGCCTTTCCGGGCAGCTTCCGCCGCACAATGAGCCCTCAGTAGTGGGGAGAAGTGCAGAGTGCCAGTCATAAGCTGCCACAAGAAACCAACTCAAGACTCGCTGTTGGACCAAACCACGTTCTCTTTCTTTGTTCGAAAACCAGAGCGGGTGGTAGAAAAATGTGGGGCATTCAGCAAGAAGCACATCAAAATAAGGCGATCTGGGGCGACAAACGCTGCACTGACTGACTGAAGGAAACACACAAATAAACATATAATATTTTTGTACCGCATTAATATACCTTGGACGTCGTCAGGTGTGAGGCTAGTCTGCAGACTTGGGACACAATCAGCTGGCACCACTATTCACTGCAAACATAATGTATGTATGTGTATGTGTAGTTTTAGTAATGTCAATATCAATAGCATTATAATCATTGTTATCCGCCCACATTGCTCGGCGTGTCGGACACCTGATACGTGCCCGTCCCCCGGCGCAAAACAGGGATCCCAGGCTCGATTCCCCCTGCCGGCTCTTTGCTGGTTTGGGGTTCCTGCCTCCTTTTGCTGAACATCTGGAAAAACTCTGTGTTTTTGGACGTCCTGATTGCGAAAACGCTGGAAAAAACCGTGTTTGTTTGCGGGAAATATTGGGGAGCAAAGGGGAAATGCAAGGAAGTGCAAGGACATGAGGGAAGGAAATAGGAAGTCGACATGGCAGGAAAGCAGCAGGAAATGAAAGGGACACAAAGAAGAACTGAAAGGACATGTAAGGGACAGAAATGACAACAAGGGGAGTGCAGGGGGAATGAAAGGGAAAGAAAGCACAAGGAAACCAATCGGCACGACGGGAGATGTAGGGAAATGACTCGCAACGAAAGAACGGGACATACATGGAAAATGAAGCGGACATACCGAGAAAATGTCAGGGACATGAAGGGGGAGTTGAAAGGCATGGAAGGGACATGACCAGGACGTCATGGGAAACGTGAAAAGGACATGAGAGAGAGAGAGAGAGAGAGAGAGAGAGAGAGAGAGAGAGAGACAGAGAGAGAGAGAGAGAGAGACAGGGAGAGAGCGGGAGAGAGAGAGGGAGAGAGAGAAGGAGAGAGAGAAGGAGAGAACAAGAGCGAGACACAGAGAGTGAGAAAGAGAGAGAGAGAGAGAGAGAGAGAGAGAGAGAGAGAGAGAGAGAGACAGAGACAGAGCCAGAGACAGAGCCAGAATCAGAGAAACAGAGAAAGAGACAGACAGAGAGAGAGAGACAGAGAGAGAGAGAGAGAGAGAGAAAGAGAGAGACTGAGAAAGAGAGACACAGAAAGACAGAGAGAGAGAGAGAGAGAACAAGAGCGAGCCACAGAGAGTGTGAAAGAGAGAGAGAGAGACAGAGACAGAGCCAGAGACAGAGCCAGAATCAGAGAAACAGAGAAAGAGACAGACAGAGAGAGAGACACAGAGAGAGAGAGAGAGAAAGAGAGAGACTGAGAAAGAGAGACACAGAAAGACAGAGAGAGAGAGAGAGAGAGAAAGAGCGAGAAAGTGAGAGAGTAGAGAGGTTCGAATTAGGGTACCCTTTTTCTGTAGAGGGGCGTGGACAGGAAGGAGACAGGGAGACAGAAAGAGATAGAGAAACGTAGAGAGAGAGAGAGTGAGAGAGAGACAGAGAGAGAGAGAGAGAGACAGAGAGAGGGAGATTGAGGAGAGAGAGGCTTGGGGGGACGGGGAGGATGGGGAGCAGGGGGAGGGAGAGAGGACGACAGAACACACGAGGGAGACAAGGGAGCGAGGCAGAAGAAGAAAAGGGAGAGGACAATGTCGGCGGACTGAGCCGGAGGCTCTAAAGTTAGTATTATTGTCATAATCATTTTCCTTATCACTATTACTCTTAGTAGCAATAGTACTGCTACTGTTCCTATTTCTATCACTCTCCCCTGGATTGACGGCCTCAATGCTTGGCCATAGAGCAACATCCCCAGCATCACTGGACCAGTCTGAGATCATAATGAGGGCTGGCCTTGGGTTGGTTTGGCTTCATTTGGCCCCGGCAAAGGGGTTTTGGGCTGCCTTTGGGTGAATTTGGGTTGACATGGGGCTGATTTGTGCTAGCTGCAAGGCTAGTTTAGCAGTGGCTGTACGGTCGCCTTAGGGTGTGGTTCGGTGAGTGTTGGGATAGTTGTAAAACCAGCCCCAAAGCCAGCCCAAAACTCACTCAACCTCACGCTAAAAAGACACGCTAAAAAGACCGTCAAGCCACTGCTAAACCAGCCTCGCACCTAGCACAAAACAGCCCCATGCCAACCCAAACCCACCCAACGCAGAACGCACCCAGCAGCCGAGCCTAAATGATAAGCGAGGCCGGCCCTAGCAAAAGAAACAGCCCTACTAAACAATTCCCCCAGGGTTCCCAACCATTTTGCCCCACAACTTTGGTCCCCCAAATATTCCGATTCGAATGCTTTAAACCGCTTCAAAGCTTTTGGGGACAAAGAACTTAGTTTGCCCAGCACTGTGAACACTGAACAGGCTGGAAGCCTCGTAAAGGGCTTTTGGGTTGGGCTGAGTGCTCCAACCGGCACGGTGACCCAATTCGACTGTTTCCTGAATCCTGTTCCTTAAGTAGTCCGGAGCAGCGTGCCCTTCAGCAGGGAATCTATCCAAAGCTGAGATAATCCTGGAATGACGTCCTTTCAAACGTCAATACATTGTAGGTAGCACGTTGAGAAGGGTGTTAGCAACCTAGCATGTTGCAGGAGGTGTCTTCAACTTCATCGCTCTTCCTGAGGAACATACTTGCACATGTTGCAAATATCTCGGTATCTGCAGGCAATATGTCCAAACTGCATACTTGTCACGCTTTGTTCTATCATAAGTTGGTTTGAGGGCATGCAGCACGTGCGCTGCTTTACTCACCTTTGGCATTTGTGCGCTGCAATGCGTAGCATAGGCTTAGGCTCATCTACTTCTTGCTGGAAAAACTCTGTTGGCTTCGAAAGACTACGCCTGCCATGTTGGTGAAATACCTGGCACAATGTGGCTATATATATATAACAGATGTATGTTCAATATGTTTCTTTTCATGTATGAAAATGAACGTAGAAAATAACACAGGGTGCACTCCCTACTACCTGAATCTTATTTTCCGCTCGTGCTTATCTGAAGAGTGCTCGGTTCAAGAAAAACGCTCGGATGCGCATATCAAAAAAGAAGAAACTGTCCATTGTGTGGGCTCAGTCTTTCCGCTACTCATGTGCAAGATTTGCAGCAGGCGCTGAACGTGACAAAACCAGCACTTTTTGATGTGCGCTCGTGGCGAGAAATTGCGCTTTTGTAGCGGGAATGTGAGCTCGTTGCGCGGCCATTCCCGTTTCATCCAGGAAAGCTCCTGCTCTGTTCAAAACATTGCGCAAAGCATGCTCCAAAGGAGCTCAATTACTTTGCGACGCAGCTGATTTAACGACGCTCGAAGACAAAATAGCGCTCGCTTGCCCAAAAAACACTCGCAAGCGCAAAAAGAGTATCAAATAGCAGCTTGAGCAGAAAATCACGCTCGTTGGAAGATGCAGGTATCAAATGGTCATAGTCAAATCAACATATCATGAGGAGGCATCAACTGATCCCGCCCGCGGCTCCCTTGACCAACAAATTTGCTATCATTCCAGCAGAACGTGCCAGCAAAACAAAAGAAACACACCGAACTTCACAAGCCTTTTTCAACTCCGGCAATGACCAAAGCTGCCATTCCAAGGCCACGTTCAGTGTGTGCCAACATTTGTTTACAGTTGTTCAAAGCATTTCTAGCCAAATGGTTAATATTGGTAAGTTAGTAGTCCTGACATGGGGCCTCAACGAACTTGACGCCTGTCCGTGCCAAGGCTCCCAAGGGCTTCAGCGGGGATCGGGTCTTGTAGCCAGTACGCTCGATGCCCCAGGGCGACACCGGCGGCCTGGCAGATTCACCAACTGCCTGCTCACCCATAAGCCAGCCGCACCATCCAGCAAGTGTAGAGACATGTTGGTTCTAGTGTCACATGTCAATCTACAAAGGGCAACCGCCGCAAACTCAGCTACATCGTGAACTTTGATCGACTCGATGCCGAGGCAGCAAGTAAGGCCGCTTTGAAAGCCTAACTTTGGGCTCTGGGTTCACGGCCTCCAGGTGCGAGTCACGTCGGCAGTCATTTGTTCAGTTCCCCTCTGGCACGCATGCCACAAACAGTTCTGACCCGCCCCACGGCCGCAAAATGACCTTCATCCCTGCTTCACCCAATTTGTTTGGGATGGCAAGCGCAAAGCGCAAGAGCCAGTCTATCACAAATGCCTCTTCGTGTGCTTTGCACTGGTGCCGCCGCCATGGGGATGTTTGTGCCTTGGCCCGGGAAGCCCATCGCAACAAATGGATTAAAAGCTTCTTCCATGGTTTTGGATTCGTGTTCCGAGGGCCGCATGCGGTTGGTCAACATGAAGGTCTCTTGACGCCTGCAAAAAGAAAGCTCAAGGCTGTCATGTCCATGGGGTCAGTCCCCAAGCACTATGACGATTCTGACAGCCGTCCTGCGCCATATCATGATGAAAGCAGTATGGCCGACATCTCCACCAACAGACAAACATTCGACACAGCATCGTCGAAGGTGTGAATGCACCGTGTTGCAGCCGAGAAAATGGAGTTAATCCATGCCCATCTGGTTCTTTGCAATATGTTGCAATAGCGAGAAACATAATTTCAGGTGAAAAGGAAACTGAATGGCATCTTTTTTGTTGTCTGTCATTGATGCACCTTGACTCAACAACTACACGGCCGCGACTTGTTCAACCTGGAAAACACCATGTGAAGCAACGGTAAAAACAAGAAGTTCCCCACGATAGTGATAAGTGGAAGCACTGGGCTTTGGCAGGTGCTGACGCATTGTGGCAGTTGCCAAACCTGGCCTTACTCATCACAACTGAGCCTCTAAAATTTGCTTCCGAAACGGACCTCCCTGAGCCCAAGTGCTTGATGGCTCATTGCTCTTTCAAACCAAGAGACTCTCCTGCTACTGGGAAAGCAATAGAATCAGCTGCACTCGGCGCATCTGACCAGGCATTTTCAGGAATGGTTAGGCGCGAAAGAAATGGGCAAGGATTGGTCTGACCATCAAACAATGCGCCTTCTAACCAACCTAGCCAACCTCGTTTCTTCTTTCAACTAGATTCTGACCGGCAAGCCAGAAATGGCGATTCCACTTACGGAGACAAGAAATCTGTGAGCTTCGATCGCGTCGCTCTCTGAGCCATCCGACGGATCCATGGCCGTACCGCGCACCGAGGGGCGCCAGCCCAGCCAGCGGTTCACCCCGGCCTTTCCTGGCAACACGGCCGGAGTCAAGCGACTTCCATCGCATCTCTAAGGGTTCTTCACAATGTGGCTGTGGGTCAAAAATATGTACCAACATGGCATCCTGGTAAATGGAAACATGGACCAAAACCTGCGGTCCCCTAGTGGTTTAATTTAAAACCTGCGGTCCCCTAGTGGTTTAATTTTGACCCATACCCATATGATTACACACTGGGATCACACCGCTGGGATTACCTGGCAAAATTGCGTCCAAAATGATCGGGCTTGTGGAATTTGTTCGGAATGAGGTATTTTCCCCGGAGCATAGGATTTGCCTACCTGGAACAAGCTCGTCTTCTGCGTAGTGCTTGCTGGCTCAGTTATCAGTTGTCTGGTCAAGCTGGCAATTCTTTGTCATTCATATGTCATATGCAAAGGCTGCACATATCAGTGCTTGATATGCATGTGTCCACCCACCTGCCCACCCGCCCACGCACCACCAGCCCGCCCACCCGCCTACCCATCCCCTCACCCTCGCACTCACGCACAGGCCTCACTATTGCGTATATGCCTTGGTGCTGACTTTGATCCACGCGTTCCTATTCTTATCACCTAGACCAGGCCCGCCCGCAGACATGAAGCAGGCCAACACCGACTTTCGTGCCCCAATCAGAGGTCAGCATCGAAAATATGCTCCTTCACAAATATGCAGCAACATGGGGTGCGCTTGAACTATTACCATGGTAAAATTGCCGGACCTGACATGCCGCCTCCCGGCCCCAATTCAGTTCTTTACATTTCAAACTCAAGCGAGAAAAGGCAAACAGATTTCATGATCAAAGCACTAACCCACCG